CCCCGGCTGGGGCGGCCACCCCGGGGCTGGGCGCGCACCGCCCGCGGCGCCGCCGCCATCTTAGGTGTGGGCGGGAGGTCAGGCGGATGCCGGCGGCGCCGCCATCTTGGAGTGAGGAGCGCGGCGGGCGCCATGTTTGTGCAGGGCAGGGCGTCACCTGTCACTGTCAGCGCTCCGTGTCACCGGGAGCGGCCGCGCTCCGCAGCGGCGTTAAAGAGCTTCTCATTGCACCCCCTGTAATGGCAGGGACACCTTCCACTGTCTCAGGGTGCTCCAARCCCMGTCCAACCYGGCKTTGGACATTTCCAGGGATCCRGGGGCAGCCACAGCTTCTGTGGGCACCCTGTGCCAGGGCCTCACCACCCTCACAGATATGCAACCTAAGTTGTCCAAGGCCAAGCATCAAAAAGTGTGGCYACTACAGATCCGGTTTATGCAATCGTTCATTTCGGGGATGGGCATTGTTTCTGCACACCTACAGATCAACATGCAAATAGCAGTATAGTTCAAAAATAAATAAGAAAATACAGTGAAATTAAAATAGCTGTATGTAGGTTGACCAGTAGAAAAATCAAGTGTAAAGGAAAGCATGAAGGACCATTTCCTCAAAAGTTTTCGCTTAGTAGAGGGCTGTCCACTGCTACTTGCTCCAAGACACTTTCCAGCYTACTCAGACACGACTGTAAGTTGGAGGATACTTTTACCAGACCCAGTATTTCCCAACCATTTTATTAAATAAACTTCTCCCTTTGCAATCACAGACGCCTTATTTCAATGTGTGAAAGCGGCCTTGTTTGCATATGGTGAAAACATCATTGTGAAAATGCAATTACTGGGTTATAGTTTCCCCCTTTGTTTACTGTTTGCAACCCCTGTGAGCCCATCTGATACTGAGTATTATTTTCCTTTATGTTTTTTTGGTCAGACTGTTGTTATTATCATCATCATCATCRTAAGGTTCAGGTTTAAAAGGCTCTTCTGTCAGAACGCCACGGACCTGGCTCCAGCAGCAGATTGCTGTTCCATGAATAGTTTGGGAAAGATTGAGTAGATGGCCATAATTTCATTTCAGGCACACCCTTGCAATTCATTAGGGTAGATGCAGATGGRCTGGAGTGATACGAGCAGAATTTCCAAAATCTTGCTTTAATCATTTTGCTTGACTAACATCATTTGCTGAAACCATGGGAGGTTCCTCAACGGCCGGCGCTGAGAGGGTTCAGCTGCCCAGCAGGATTTGTGTCTGTTTATTCATCCTCTTTGAGAAAAAATGCCTGACCAATATGCAGGGATTGCAGGCACCACATTGGTTACAAAGGAAAAATAAATTACTGAAGAAAGTCAGGATTTTCTATGAATAGGTGGATTTAACCACCTGTGAAGAAATTCTCGCTTTGGTGGCTGGATGATATAAAGAGAGTTTCAGAGAGTGCAAAGAATGGCAATGTCATAGAATCACAGAATGGTTTGTGTTGAAGAGATCTTAAATATTCACTTCCAACCCCCTGGTATAGCAGAGGYGCCTTGCACTAGACCAGGTTGTTCCAAATTTTTTAAATCACTCGAGCCATAAGATTAAATCCTTATAGAGTCCAATTAACCCCTTTATCACACTGATTTTGCCATAGCTTATGCCATGACCTAACTTCGGGATGAAATTGGAATTGTAAGATTCAAATAATTAGAAAACCTTTACCGCAGCAGTAAATATTCAAGATTTTTTAAATGAGAAGGAAAGGGGGGTGTTTTTTCAGCAGCGTTTGCTCACACACAGGGGTGAGATTCGTGCCCAGATTTGCTGCCACATCCCCCAAACCGCTCCCTGCAGCTCTGTCCTGAGGTATCCAACACTTTTCACCTGAAAGAGGTTTCAGTCTGAATGACACTTGAAGTACTTTAAGCCATCATGGTACCTTCCACTAATCACCACCAGCATCTAATGGATTCATTTCTGGAAGCACTTCAACTCTTCTGGGTTCCTTGAAGGAGGATTCCTCCGGCCACTCCAGCTGCCATCATTAGGCAGCTTTAGCTGCCGCCTGCCAATGGCTCTGCGCTCCCCAGGCTCCCCCAGCATCAATCTGCAGGATCACAAACCCCTTAACAACCTCTTCACCGCCAGACTGAACCACAAGTGGGAACATATTGCTCTCCTCTGAGGATTAGATTTCTTAGCCTGCTTTTATTCCCACAGTCTCGCAGTGAATGTCACATATTAAGTGCTTGACCGTGACTCAGGTCACAGGAAAAACTGAGGATGGCTGAACTGGTGTAGAGAAATCYGTGTGCTCACTTTTGCTCAGCCAGGAACAATCCTGAGAGGTCTGTGCTTKGCTCAGCCTTTCGATGTCCCACAGCAAAGGGGAACATGTTCAGTTTTGCCAGGTGTACTCAAAAGGTCGTGCGCCTCGTAAGAGGTGGAATTGCTAATGATAATTCAGCAAGATAAGCTCAGAGATAAACTGAACCTGAAAGCAAGTGGGATCCCCAGGAAGCAGCCTCTCCAGCTCAGTCACACGGCTCATCCTGGCAGAGCAGATGTGCCGTTTGCGATACGCTCCGAGTGTTATCAAATCAAGGTCCCATTGAGCRAAGAAGTGAAAGGACTTGCAGAGCTGAGAAGGAACTCCTTGTGAAAATGCCTTGCCAGCAACCCTCTCTTTTTTAAATCAAAGCACTGCCAGCTCTCAGGCATCTGCTGGTTGCAGCTGTCACGGTGTCATCCGCAGGGAAAGGTGAGCCCTCGGTGACTCAACAGCCGAAYGTCAAACGCTGACACTGCTCACGCTGCAGAAACATCAGATGGCTGCATCTATTTCACACTGTTGGTGGGGAAACAGAGAATTCAAGTCTCATTTAAGTCATCTTCTGCCCTAGAAAAAAAAGGAGCAGAAAGAGGATATGAAGCTCTCTTCTAAGGGCAGAATTATCAGCTGTTTCTTGTGTAGAAAAACTGTAACTGGTGTTTTCTTGAATGTCAGAAGGCCTGTTAGGATAYTGACATCTCCAGTTTTATACTAATAATAGTTGCTGTACCTTATCCACACAACAGTTTATTAACACAGTTCAGTAAATCAAATTTAAAGTCAAAATTAACCCTATGCTTACAGAGGGATTTTAAGAAGGGTGCAGTGGGATATACTAAAATTCAAAGGGATCATTTATAGGATTATTAGTCACTCAGATGTTCCTCCACATTCCTTTAAGTCTAGTGTACCACAGAAGACACAGGACTTGCTCACATTCAATGGTARTAAAAGGAGCCAACAGACCTGAAAAGCTGCATCAACATTTTATCCTAAACAATTGCTCCAGGAAGGCTGAGCTAAAAACCCCAGGCAAGCTGTCACTAGCTAATATTAGCCTACACACACAGAAAATTTTTTAATTCCAGAGCAATTTTCAAAGACTGCAGAAAATGTTCTCTACACTGCGGAGAAAACCCAACAGTTCCTTTTTGTGCTGATGCAGCTGCAACTGCTGTTTGCTAGATCCTATCTCAGCTTGGTCATTGCAATATCAAAGTATGGTTTTATAAACCTTTTAACTCTTGTGTAAAGCACATTATACATGCTAATGCCTTCATTTGACTAAGCTGGCTTCGTCATTTTACTGCAGCTGGGTGAAGGTACTATATATTGATATACCCTCACATGTTAAGCAACCCCTTAATGGAATACATTGCCTTWGAGTCTTCAGTCTTTATGAAAAAAAGTCCTTATCACTGCCCAGAGAACTATTTTGTGTGCTGTAATTATATAATATTAATGAATGGTATTACATACAACTATTTTCTAGCCCTATTCTTTGTGTGGCATGTACTTTAGAATGACCTGACACTGCAAAAATGCCTCTAGCTTCTCTGGCTCATGTAAAATACAATAAATACATAAATAATTTAGAAGAGGAAATAGGTAGTGTTGCAAAGGCTGTGGTGTTCTTACCACTGCACTTCAAAATCCGTCGATGTGACCTTTGCAAATGCGCTTTTCTATTTTCTTTTAAGGATAACGCTTCTTTGAGCTGGAACAAAAAAAAATCCCACACAGGCACAAGAGTTTTAAATGTGAAAGCTCACTTTATAATCTTATTTCTGCAATTGTAGAAGGAAAGAAGCACYCGGGGAATGAGTCCAGGGACACCACCAGAGGCACCTGGAAAGGAATGGTCATCTGGTGGATTCCATGGGAAAGAAGCTGTTTATCCCATGGAAACTCAGCTTCTCAATCTCTTGGGGTTTGGAAGTTTTTTCCTCCCACTTCTCAAATAAATAACTGCTTATTTAATTCTTATTAATAAACGAGGAATGCAGGGCTTTGTCAGGGGCCAATTAGTCAGGGCTTGTGCTGGTGCCGAGTACAATTTTTACTGCAACTCRGTGACACCTTCATTTCTCAAAGTAAGATTTCATAGCCTGCTCATTTACAAAGTGGGCTAGTGCCTTTGGGTATTTGGGAAGGGCAAAAAGACAAATTGAAAAGCATCAAATCATTTAATTTCAGAGTGCATTAAGCACACGCCTTCCAATTTTCTGACTA